TATTTGGAGACACTGATCCAATGTGAAAAATTTTTAAACAATAAAATTATAAATTTTCAATGTAAACATATTCCTAATAGAAAGAAAAGGGTAGCTACAAGTAAAAAACCAGATTGGTTTGCAATAAGTTTAAAGAAAAGCATCATAAATTTTAGAAATTTAAATTGACTGGTATGACAGGAGACTTGGAAGATCAAGAAAGTTGGTGAAATGGGAAATTAAAACATGAAAAAGGATGTATGAGAAAAAGTTGACTGAAAATGTAAAAATTAACAGTAAGGATTTCTTTAAATACATAAAGGGGAAACAAAATGTTAGGATAGGACCCTTGAGGGATGATAAAGGAAGAATAGATCTGATGATTAAGAGATGGCTGGATTATTAAATTTTACTTTTTATTCAGTTTCTACTCATGAAAATTTAAGCAGTATTCCACATCTTGATCAGTTGATAAATGAAAACAAGATCAAAGAAGATGACTGCATTAATTCTGAGCTGGTTAAGAAATAATTGGGAAGTTTATGGAACAATAAGGCTCCTGGGCCAGATAATATTTCCCCAAAGGTTTTGAAGGAGGTTAAAGATTGGATATGTGAGCCACTTACTACTATTTTAGTCAGTCCTTGAATAGTGGGAGGTACCAAAGGATTGGAAGTTGACTACTGTTACTCTTCTTTTCAAGGAAGGTGGTAAAAACTGTCCCAGTAATTAGACCCATTAGTCTTACACCAGTTGTGGGAAAAATTTTGGAAAGTCTGTTAAAAGATGCTTTGCAAAGTCATTTAACAACGTTTAGAATTTTATTGGGTAATCAACATAGTTTTACTAAGGGAAAATCTTGCCTTACAAATCTTTTGACATTCTTTGAAAAGGTTACTGTTTGTGTAGATTTGGTGCATCTGGATTTTCAGAAAGCATTTAACAAGGTGCCACATAAAAGGGTTGTAAAAAAAATTAGCTCTATAGGTGTGGGGATAGAAGAGTGACTGGATGGAAGAAAGCAGAGGGTTGTTACAAATGGAGTTCAGTCAATCTGCAGTTATGTCACAAGTGGGGTACCTCAGGGCTCAGTCTTAGGATCTTTGCTCTTTTCGGTTTACATTAATGACACAGATGAAGGAATAGTCAATAAGTTACTTAAATTTGCAGATGAGATTAAGGTCTTGGGTGTTGTTAGCTGTGAATAGGATGCTGCTGATTTACAAAAAGATTTAGATCATTAGTAAGTTGGGTTTTAATTATAATAAATGCAAGATAATGCATGTGGGTTATCATAATTTGACTTAAGTATAATTTGGATGGGTATAACCTTAATAGTGTTATGAAGGAAAGGGTGTAACAGTCAATCAGTCTCTAAAGCCATCCAAGCAGTGTACTGTTGCTACTGGTAGGGCAAATAGAATTTTAGGTTGTATTTATAGAAATATTGAATACAAGTCTAAAGAAGTTATACTTTTATTGTACAGGTCACTGGTTAGGCCACATTTGGAATATTGTGTTCAGTCTTGGGCTCCTTACCTTAGGAAGGACACTGAATTGTTTGAGTGTTCTGAGAAGGGTTACTAGAATGGTGCCTGGGATGGAGAAGTTGTCATACGACAAGAAGCTGAAATCTCTCAAATTGTTTTCTCTTGAAAAAAGAAGAGTTAGGGAGAGATCTAATTGAGGTGTTTAAGATTGTAAAGGGAAATGATAGTGTTGATGCATCATCTTTTTTTACATTTAACAGTGCGAATAGTAGAATTAGGGACAAGGTAGGTGTCATCTTCAGCTTCAATCTTCTAACAAGGTGGTTAACCTTTGGAATGGGTTGCCTTCAGATGTTGTAGAGGCAGTAAATTTAAGTGAGTT